AAGAGTCAAATTTAAAAGCAGTTTCTAGGTAATTGCTTTGAAGACAGAAAACAAAAATATCCCATCAATACTATTTCATTAGTTAAAATCCTCGAAAGAATCTTGGTAAATGATAACAGTTCAGTTTATTTAAGTAATATTGTTTCGTGAATAAATTTTGATAAATTTGAAATCGTTCATAGCCATTAATAGAATTCAAAAAAAAACAATATGAAGAAAAGTCACATGTATTTACAGTGTTTCTATAATTTGTTTTTAATTTCATTGATGAGTAAATCAACATTGTCTTGAGTCAGTCCAAAGTTGATCATTTGCTGACGCGCTTTATCAACGACTGCATACCACAGGTCTTGTTGATCAGCATATTTTGATTCGAGCACAGCAATAGCAATAGCTGTTGTTATGACATCTTCCATGTCGTTAATGTTTGATTTGAACGTTGCAATTGTTTTGCCTCCGGTTAACATTTCTATGTCACTATCGGTCAATTGCCAAGCTCCATTGAATGATTGCTTGTTGATCAACCATCGAACGTGATCAACATTCACTGACGCTTCACTACTGGTCAATATTGGTTCAGATGCCTGATCTGCGATGCTATCTTCAAAGAGCTTCGAGCTATTCAGATTCATACCAAAAGTAGATATCCTGTAAGAAATTTACTCTAGTTAGTTTGCTTATAATGACCAATATTGTGTTTTCAAAAGAGAAACATTTTACGACATAAACTTGAATCCTTCGTTCGTCAGATAAAGGAAAAACTTTTCACTTCTTTTTTGATTTCTTGACTGTAGGATGATTAGTGAAGATTTTGAAGAGAAAAATGAAAAAATTCTTGTAAATAATGTACGCTTTCGAAATATAATAAAGTAATTAACAATGGTACATACTGGTGAACATTATTGGCAACGAATAATAACCCTTCACTGGAATATTCATCCATAGATGCGACATCTGACAGCATAAATTTTGCAGAAGTAAAGTATTGAGCATGATGGGAAAATAAGTGTTCATCATCTTTCGATATCTGAATAGGTACATGGCGAACTTCAGGAGGAGCATTTACGTCACTTCGCTTTGTCGTTGTTTCAACACCAACAAAAGCTGTGTATGGTGATAGAATTTGATGAGCCAGCGATAATGCAATAATTCGTTGTTCAATCGATTGCAATTTATTCCTAAAACAAAAGATTTTTTAGTAATGCAATTGGAGAACATAAGATTGACTATTGAACGTTGTTTGTAGCCTTCCTCACAGTCTCCAGTAAAGTAAAAGTGAACTTAGTAACGAATCTTTTAGCAAGAAAAGAAAATATCTTCAGAGTGATTTTATTCTACAGTGTTTTCCTAAAATTTAAGATTCTTGACGATTAAAATTATGCAACATTATTGAAAAAACCTTTTTCTTTTTGAAGTATTCACCGAAATTTTTTTTCGATGTGGATATTGTCTATAAATTCTGAGAATTATACTCAAATGAATAACTAAAAGAAGTACATCTCAGATATGATTTTGATACCGATGAAATCATTTTTTTATGAGATTTATTTCATGAATGAAAAATATATTAAAGATCTGATTGTGACTATAACAAGTTGACAATGTTATTCTAATTATTGAGTCTTATTTGCATTTTACTTTTGGCTGTCCATTGTTTGCAAGGCGTGCTCACGCTCCGTTAAATTTCTCTTTCTTTTCTTCCTGTTTCGTGTATATTAAACGAGATTCACTAATAATGTTGTCTAGCGCATCTCTTCGATAATCTATTATGTTTAATTTGTCTTTTCGCTCCTCTTACGCTTAGAACTGATCAACTTTTATGGAAAATAAATTTTACGTGACACATTGAAAAAATGCTGTTTCATGAACGTGGTGTTATTTATAAATCTTTTCAAAATGTAAATGGATAAATCGTTTTTGCGTTCTCTTTTATTTATACTATAAGAGAAAAAGAACAAATATAAAAGATTATCAACGAAGGATCATAGACTACGCCATTAGTGAATCATTTTAAGGCAAACAAAACGAAAAGTAAAGAGAATTGAAGTCGTAGTATCTGCTTCAAGCAATCAGTGGATACGCATAATTGATTCTGCAGCATTTTGATGAGCTTGAGTAAAATGCGAATCATGCTCATATCGCTCCATTTAGTTCAAATGAGAACAACCAATTCATTAAGATACTATTCAATTCAAAAGATTTTCTACTGTAATAGGTCATTCGACAGTATGTATCAGTGGTTATGTCCAAAAATACTCTACATCGATATTGAAACTATTTTATGATCGAAAGGTTTTCCGTGAAATACTACACATAGTAGACTATAAGGGAATGAGCATGAAACACGATTCCATTGTCAATTTTATGCGCTCTGTTTTAAATATTTAAAAAAAACTCTTCGTTTATCTTATAATACTAACATTATCACATCATTTTGTCTCATGTGTTGTAATTGTTGAATCATAGCTTTAGCTGCTAATCGACGTATTGTATCACCTTTGTGGTGAATATCATGAAGAGCTAATGTTGTTGAATCAATTGTTTTGCATCGTACACGAAAATTGACTTGAACAGTTCGTTGATCGAACTCATCGCTTTCGAACATAGTGTAGACCAGAACACGATCATTAGCATACAATGGTGGAATTACGTCTGGAGACTGGACAATGCTTGATGATAAACCATGCCATTCGAGACGAGCATTGACAATCGACGGTTTAAGTGCTCGACGAAGTTGACTACCAACATATGTGTCTACTTTTTCTTCTGGAGGAATAAATACAAAATGACCATTTGTGGCACGTGCAAGACCTTTGACCAAAGAACGAGATGGTGAATGGCCAAGACCAAATGTAAAAATTCGTGTAGTTGATGACATTAAGTAACATAGTTCGATGACCTAATTTTTTTTTTGAAAAAAACAAAGCAAAATTTTTTTTTTCGTTTAAACAAAGAAATTTCTCAATCAGACTTCATTCGTATTTGAAACTTCACCATCGGTCAAAATAAAGATTTGTCTTGATCGATCATTTGTTGGTGGATTATTTTTCAAATATTGAAGAGGAGTCAATAGTTCTGTTCCACCAAAATCTGCTTGCATCGAATAAGATAATTGTTCAGCTTGTTTAGCTGTTTCTTCGTTATAAACAACGCTCATCATTTCATTTTCAAAGAGAATTCGATAATTTGATCCGAATTGAATAATATTGAAGTAAGAATTCAATGGTAGACTACGTATAAAGAGAAGCATGGCTTCTCGTGCAAGACCTATTTTATTCTCGTCTTCCATCGATCCAGAGCAATCCACTGCAACAAAAGATCATATAAGAATAGGATCGATAAACATAGTCATAGCACATTTCTTGAGAATGTCGATATGATTGTGTCATGAAGTTCAAGCCTCACACTCACACTCTATATTAATTAATTGATCCATGACTTTCTAATAGGATATTTCAACTTTTGTTCACATATGATCTTATAGAAGAGTGGGAAAGAGTAGTTTACATCATCCCTATTTATCGAAACTCACGATAAATATGATATTGAATGATCGTAGATTTTAGAATATTTACTCTAGAGATACGTAAGTTCAATTTAATCATTTGTGGTCGCATTGCTTTCAAAAAAGAAAATCTTACATAAACATACCGATGAAGATAAGTTCAGAT